CACACACGTGTGCTACTCAACAATCAGATCGGACAACCGCGTCGCAATTTTCAGGTCTAGTTCCTGCCTGCCAGTAGCCTGCATCCCCGACCACGTTCACCCAGTACAGCTCTGACGCCATGTGCTCCTGATACGGTCGGAACACGACGCTTCCAAGCAGACCTTTGCAACAGCTTGCGCTTCCTCTTTGATAGCTCCAAAGGTGATCTCAGACTTCTCTTCATCGGAGTCTGACAGAAACACAGAGAAAAGCGGCTGCCTGAGCGTCAGTCACAGGCTGCACTAAAGTGCACTGAGCTGCACAGCAGCACACCGAACATCGTAAAGACTGTTAGCAGCAGCCGAGCCAGAGCGAAAGCGGACTTCCGTCAGTGAGTGAGTTGGTGTGCTGGTGGGTTGGTGGGTTGGTGGGTTGGTGGGTTGGTGGGTTGGTCCGTTGGTGCGTTGGTGCGTTGGTGCGTTGGTGCGTTGGTGCGTTGGTGGGTTCGTGGTGTCGGCGAGTGAATGCAGTCAGAGATAGCCAGGGCGAGAGGCACAGAGAGAGCAGAGGAGCGAGGTGACAAGAGGCGACAGCCAGAGAAGGAGAGGACGGCAGAAAGAGTCAGAGAGAAACAAAGACAGCGCGACAGAGAAGCCCAGGGCAGGAGGCAGAGAGGCAGAAGCAGAGAGGCAGAAGCAGAGAGACAGAAAGACAAGACCGACGAGAATCACTTACCAAAAGAAGCATACCTGAAAAGGGCGAGGCCAAAGAGCGGACAAAGCATGGAGAGAGGTAAGCTCCTGAAGTGCGCTCTTGGGGCTCGGGCGCTAGCACCCCTGCGCCATGTAAGCGGCTCATCACGCTGAACTCGTTAGACTGGCAGAGTGGCGCAAGCTCAAATTGGGTCAAAGGTTGGAAACCCTGGAATGCGTTGCCCTCAGCCGGCCTGCGCCATTGAGTCCAGCGCGAGGCCAAGCACCCCGTCGAAGGAGAAAGTGGCAAAAGGCGTGTAGCTCTCGTCCTGATGTAAACATGTGATTGCCATGACTTGCTGGCCATCGTGAGACTGAGGTGTCGGCAAGCGACGAAATGAAGTTGCCTTTGGAGCAGGCGGCCCCAACCTGGTCTCAAGGCAGAAACCGGCTGCATGCTGCGAGCAAGGATGTGTGAATTTACGGTCACGAACTTCCTCGATCAATGACGTTTCTTGCTGCATCCGAGTGACACAAATGGAGTCCGTGAAGCACTGTCCAGTAATCTTGCCCGTGCCGAAAGTAATTGTAATTTCGTCCTCGAGCAGCGCAACGGACAACAGTGACGGTCTGTCCAGTGTACAGCCGCGCAAGCAAGTCGCTGCAGAAGTTCAATCGACCAGAACGCATAAAATCTCATGCAAGAAGGCAATGCTAGTTTGCTATTTTGGGGTATGCGACGGTCCGCCAACATCCCGTGAGAGACGTTGCTGCCATCGCAATTGATTGCATTGATCTCGGAGGGCAGACGTGTAAATCAAAGGCGCAAGTTTCGGAGCGATCGCGAAACGGTGTTGGACGGACACACGCGCAGGGTAGAGTACTCAGGACTAGACTCCATCGCTCTTCCTGGGACAGGGGAAAACAAACGCAAACTGCAAACTGGTGAATCCAAAGCATGCACATGACAACCTGGCCTATGATCAAACCGTCGATGGCTGGTGCAGGCCTTACATCAATATGATGACAACAACTGCACGGCACAAACAGAACAAAAGGTCGCGGCATCGCTGGAGCAATCACTGCCAGGAACCTCATTGTGACCACTTTGCATCAACATTCGCTGCAATGCGAGAGACAGACCATCGGCCAATCTTAGGCCCGCGCTATGAGATTTCCGCTCCCAGTGTCAAAAACAACTGAAAACTCCTGGCGTCAGGGTTTGATACTCATCACGCTGACAAAGCTCCACACACGATGCACCTGTGGAGGGTTTCCGACCTGCCAAGATTAACACAAAATGGTAAGCGAAAGTGAAAGCACTGAGCATGCCCACCTGTATGGTGCCGAAATATGCCATCTTATGCTGCACGCTGCTCTTGCTGGCCTACGAGCACTCAACCTCCGTCTTGCATGGACGGATCACTAACTTGGTCAAGGCCTCCGCATGCTTCCTCACTGTCGCAACTGTCGCAACTCGCTTGTGCAGCGCGACGGACACGGAAGTCTGCCAAATCCAGCGCAACAAGCTTCCAACCCAGCAAAAACCGGAACGTTGACAAATGGTTGTGCCGCACAATGTCGACTATGTTGACAACGAGGCAGCCTGAGTCGCCGAAACGACCCATAGCCCCAGCAGTGCTGGGGCCCAGAAATTCGCTAGGCGAAGCATCCTGAGCTCCGTGTTACGCTCCCGTCCGCCAGTCCGCACGGACTTGTGTTCGCCGAAACAATGGTAGCAAGCACACATGCGCACGCACATGACTCAATTTAAGATGCCGGCGCTCACTACCGAAAGGAAGCAGGTGCTGGTGGAGGGATGTGCTTTTGCAACCCCACCAGCCCTGCATATTGAGCAACAAAGCGGCATGTTCAGGAGCCATTTCGCAGCCCATGGTTCTAAACATCCAAGCCACCCACACAGAATGCTGCTTTTGCATGCACATTGCAATTGAATAATTGCATGTATGTGTGTATGTATGTATGTATGTATGTATGTATGTATGTATGTATGTATGTATGTAATGTATGTATGTAAGCATGCATTTATGCATGTTTAGACATATAAAACATCAAAAATACAAAATTGTATAGTATAGTTATTACAACATGATATAACACAATATGGTATAACATCAGACAATCTAAAATATAACATAAAATATACTGCAATGAAACATATTTCGTAACACAAATAGCAAAATTAAACATACTACAATAAGCTATAACATAAAATCTGAAATACTATCCAAAAAACATAATACCACAAAGTATGACACCTTTCACAGGTTATAGCTGGACAAATAACAACAACTTATAGCAGGATATCAAAAATAAGAAGTATTGTCCAATAATAAACTATAATATAATAACAAGATCTAGTAAATATAGTATAGTATCATATAATGACCTGGAACATGACACAATATTATTTATCACAATATGACACAGTACAGTAAAATGGGTTTTAATATCATTGATATGAACAAATCAAAACATAACAAAATATGCTAAATATAACAACTGCAACGAAATACAATACAAAAAGGCTTAATATAATACCACAAAATATTATACAACAAAAGGTAGCACGATGTAGTTTACTTTTGTATAAAACAACAAGACATTGTATACTATAATAGAGTACATTCTATCCTGACATAACACAACATACCAGAACATGATATAATTAAGCTGGTACAGTATAACGGAATACAAGGCCATGTAATTCAATTCAATTTAATTTAATATGGAAAATTTAACATACTACAATATAACATAGAATCAAACTCAAGCAATGAAGCAATCCGATATATTGTATAAAGCTTTACAAAATGAAACATAAAATGACATGTGCTAAAACAACATGATATAATTGGTATAGTGCAAATAAACTCGGTTCCATATAGTAAAACAAAAGTAAGACAAAATATGATACATAAAACCAAACCAAAAATATAATGCAATAACACATTATAGTATATAATGAAGTACAACAAAATATAACATAGTGAAATGTATCATAGTATAACATGTTACAACATCATATTATATACAACCGAACTGTAATAGATTGACAAGCTTTATGTAGCGTCGTTTGAAATCATTTATTCTTGCAACACAAAACATGATACATTAACACAGCATGACAAAATGCAACATAGTTTCAGTTCGTGAAACTCGATGTTAAAAATTATGACAAAACTTGATAAATATACTAAGTTATAACAAAATCCATTAAACACAGTACAATAAATTTCAGCATAATGAAACATATCACAATACAATATCAGGTAATATAGCATAACACATTACAATATGACATTGTATATTACATTGTATAATGTAATACAGCCTAGTGATATAGTTTTTGTTCATTTCATAAAACATCAAAAACACAAAACGAATGATGAATGAAATAAATTATAGCAACGTATAACGCGATGAAACAAAACGGAATACGATAGCAATACCAAACTTCAACACAACACAAGGTGACAGATATGATATTCCGTGGTTTGGTACTGTTATACAGTATAATGTAATGAATAAAACAATAATAATAAACCATGATACAGTTTAACAGAGATTGATATGATATTCCATGAACGGGTACTTTAATACAGTATAATGTGAGGAATAAAACAATAATCCGAAAATATGATACAGTTTAACATAGTTTAGTAAAAGCATGACATAGCATCACACAACGTAACATAATACACTTTTTATAACATAAGGTAGCATAATACAAGACATCAAATATAAAACACGATAACATAAGATAGGGTAAGGTAGGATAAGATAAGACAAGATACAACAAGATAAAATAGGACAAATTTTAACAGATAAGATGATGTCACATGAATTAAAAAACATAAAACAAGATGAAGAACACAAAATACAATGAGATAAGATACGACAAAATAGAACAAAATGATAAAGTGTGATTTGATATGATGTGGTACAATGTAGCAAAGTATGATGTACACAAAGCGTGCAAAAGTCATAAAATATGTGCAAAGCTGCAGACAGTGCAGCAATTCATGAAAACATAATGTAAGGTCCTACACTATCACACAAAATAAAATAACACAACACAACATAACATATTACTAGTTTTCAAATTTACAAAGCAAAGGAAACTCAACCATGGGGTGTAGAGGCTGGGAAGAGAGCCGGGTTGAGTGGTGCAGAGCCGGGCATTTTTGCAAGAACGGGGTTGCGAAAGAAGGTTTCGGCATCACACTTGTGTTTTGAGGCTCCATCACAGTTCGGCTTGAGAAGGGAGGCTTCTCGAGGACTCAAGAAGCCTGTGGGAGGGGGAGGCTAAAGGTTAAAGGGTCGAAGGAAGCTTGAAGAAGGCTTGGCCGTCGCGCACCAAACTTGTCCAACTCTAAGAAAGGTTTGCGGTGTTGTGCCAGTTTCCGATCGGGCTTGTGTCTCACTACTTTTCTTGCAAGACTTGCAAGGCGCGATTCCGGCAAGCCAACAACCGCAGAAACCTGCCGCAAGATGGCTCAATGGCAGTTTGGTGGAGGGTGATCTGCATCAGTTCCATGCAAGGGGTCCCCCCCATTTGTAAGTTTTGCAATGCAGCAGCAATATGATGCATCTTAAAGCACGAATTCTTCCATTCGTGGTAAATGCGCTGCAACAGTGACGCAGTTTTGCTGGCTTCTGTTTTTCAAACCAGGTCCACTCCATTTCCACCAGGTTCGAACAACGGGTGCTATCCAAGTCTGACGAGTCTTGTTTTTTTCCACTGGATCCCAGGTCAGACTCGAACCTTGTGAACGAGTTTGTGGAAAAGCAGGAACTCCAAAAAACCCGGTGCCACCACCAGGTTCCATGTTTTCTGAGGCCGGATTCCGCACCCCATAAAATTCAATTAAACAGCAAGGACCCATACAAGTTCTTTTTGCGCCAGAGAACTTGACATTTTGCCCGTCCAAACCCGCGACAATTCGGCTTTGAGCCACCAGGCTTGCGCTGCCTGTTTTCGTGTGAAAATTCTTTTGCGGACAAGAAGCAAGCGGACTTCATCTTGATTTTTGCTTTGAAGCGCAATGAGATCTTGTCACTTCGTAAGAGAAGAGACGATTCATTTGCCAAAAGAAAACCTGGCCGGGAGCGGCGTTTTGCGCGGCTACTGATTTTTGACTAAAAACAAATTAGCGGCCGCAAGCGCCGCGCCGCCAGCGAAAAAAAAACGTTTTTTGGGTTGCTTTCGCTTCCAACACTCACTGCTTCCTGGTTTGCCACGGTCGACAACAACTGTTTTCGCTTTGCCAGGACTCAGTCTAAGGTGAGGACTTGCACTCCCTCCCGAAAGACGACTGGATTGCGCTGTACAGGCTCGGGTTTACGTAAGGCGGCTTGAAGGCGAACATGGATGCCCAAAATGGGAGCCGTTTTCCAAGTTCGAGAAATGAAGGACGTTCGTTTTTGGACGGAAATAGTTTTGGAATCTGGGGCTTGGCCAGACCTTCGACGAAGGTTGCGGGGGACTTCAAGGGGGACTTAAAGAGGGCTTTAAGGGTGGGCTTGAGAGTCTGACGCGAAATCTAATTTTTCTGTTTAACAGGCTCCGTTCCTTGCAAAGCCCAAGAGAGCTTAAATACGTTGCGAAGAGCTTTGAAGTGCTGAATTCAAATTTAAAAGGTTTTAGCTTCCAAGCTTTTCTTGAGAGAGTCACCTTTAAGTCCTTTTAGGATCAAGGGTGGGTTTTTTCGCTTTACAGTTTCTCACAACAGTTAAGTATTCAATCAGACGCAGGTGGCAAGAAACTACACCTCAAAGTCTGTGCATCTGTGTCTGGCTCTTCAAGTCTCTCGAAAGAAAGTGCAAAAAATGCAATATTGCAACATTTTTTGCGCTTTTTCGCACGTACAGTTTCTTGTTTTGAAGCTTGAGACTCAGGTGCCCACAATTATGCCATGTGTAACATCAAAACCAACAACTTGGACTGTGTCTGCTGTTTTGCCAGTTGGACGAGGGTGCGATTCATGAATTCTGCCGGTGCACAAATGTCTTTCTTGTCCGCGACATCAGTCTCTCTTTTTTGCTTTCAGACCCCTAAAGCGATTTCGCCGTGCCTTCAAGCATCCTTAAGCCCTCCTTAAGCCCACCCTTCTTCAAACCCCTTCCCCCTTCAAGTCTCCCTCTAGAGTCGTGGCACGGCGTGGATCAGAAGTGTGGCTTCAACGGTTGGAATGCCGCATTTCGCCGCAAAGTCGACGAAGAAATGATCGAGCTGTCAGACTCTGACCATTCTGGCGAAGAGATGGCGTCACAGCGATTGGTTGATACGACAGAATTTTAGTGAACGTTGCGGGTTTTGAAGCTTGCACACAGGTGTGAAGTACAAACTCTTCAGCCCTGCATTTGGTGCGAAAGAGCCACTTCGAGCCGTTCTTTGAACACCGGTCCTTTGAAGTCCTCCCAACCTCCCTGAGTGGCTTCCTTTCAAAGCTCTTCCATTCCGCTTTGGTCGAACCGCTTTTGTTTTGTTTTGTTTGCTTTTGTGGAATGGATTTTTGCGCAAGCAAGCAAGAATTTTCAGATTTCCAAACCATGTGCAGTTAAGTCGGAGCGAAGTTTGAAGGCTTGCTTGCGGAGAAGTGTGGAAACGTTTTGAGAAGCTTGTAATTTTGTCGACTTGAGCATAAGCATCAATGGCGACTAAACAACTGGATAAGTTGCTTTTTTCTCAAGATGCATCCTTTAAATGTTGGACCCAGATTTGAGGTTTATGCAGCAAAATTTTGAAGCAGAGCCGCAAGGGCTTGCGCGCGGGCAGAACAGTTGGCTGCTTTCCTTGTCAATTCCCTTGTTGTTTTTTGCCTTCTGCATCTTCTTTCTGTGCAGCAAAGTTGTTTAGGCGGTTTTCAAGTGGAGGTTGTTTCCCACAGACGGCCGTTTCCTCTAGCGGGCCGTTTCCTACGCATTCAGTAAAGCACATGTGTTGTTGGATTCTCCAAGCTTCCCAAATGAAGGTTGGACCCTGGAAGTAACTAAAAATATGCATAAATACATGCTGAGCACTTTCCTGTCAGTGGAAGTCGTTTCGAGATCGAATTAGAACGGCAGAATTCCAGTTCTTGCAGTTCAATTTGCAAGGAAGGGCACCGAAGCGTTGTTGCAAGAATGGAGCGGTTGGTTTGACATGTTTTGCACGGTTGCAAGCTTCAAACTGGTGTAAAGTTCCCAAGATGCCTCGCCGCCGCAAGCTGTGTTGATAGGTGGTAAGGCGCAGATGAGTTTTGTTATGACGTGTTATCCCATGGTTCCTTCAGTTGCAACGATTTCCAAAGGTTAATTACGGTTAGTTCCATGCTCTTGTGCAAGTTGCGTGACATGACTGGCACTTCGCATGGCGTCTTTTGACTTTCATGGGCACGCTCCTCAGGGTGCACCGGCATTTCTTTTGCGGTGAATTGGTTTCGATAACCGAGGCAATTCCAGCTGTTTCAGCTTCTTGCAGAGACCTTCGAAGATCACGACAGGGTGCACGATGCTGTGCAACTTGTTTGTGCTGGCCGAACGCTGCGAATCACAGGTACTGGGATTTTCGAGGTTTGGGAGCACCAATGAGGACAATGAGCTCCATGTCATTGTGTTTATGTTGGATCCTGGTTGTGCAAAATTTCTCGAACCCTTATTCAGGGGGTTTTGCTTGATCACGCATGGACTGTATGACTGCCGAAGGATGATGTGCACCTTTGCCAAAGTTCCTTGGGAGGACTGCTGAGGGTTGTTTCGTTCTTGGCCGTGCGAAAACCTCTTAAGGTTGCGAGCTTCTTGAAGCGGTTCACGTCATCACTTGCTCCGAAGCTTCAGGATGTCAAGTACTCAGTCAAACAAAAAGCCAAGGGCAGCTGGATTGCCCCGGAGCGACGTTCTCAGCCTCTTCTTAGCAAGCTTTGCTTTTCTGTCCGAGATGGGTTGCTACCAAGTGTGTCGTTCGACCAGATGAATGTCGGCTGTCGGCAGGTAGTTCGGGGAACATGCGCGTTTTGCAGATTAAGACCCAGCCGTGTTGAACTTCAGGTGGGAGCTAGACCAGAGACCGCAGCTGCGACAGCAAAATCCGCTGGTGAGTTTCTGAGACATTAAGGGCCGACAGGAAAAAGTGGATTTGCTCGCTCTGAAATTGTATTGATTCTGTTCAGAACTCTGATCAAGAACTATCATTCAAGGAGGCATTCTGGCCAAAAATAATGCTTGGCTCAGGTGCAGCTTCCTTATGTCATCAACCATTCAACTGGTGAGGTTCCGTGGGATGTGCTTCGTTTTGCAGTTGTGTGACTATATCCTGCGTGTCCGGAATAGAGAAAGCGGGCAAAGTGGTAATGTTGATCAGATGACGGTCGAGCTTTCGGGTTTGTTTTCAAGCGGATCACACACGATGAAAGCGCAGTGAAGTCTGTCGAACTGCAGTGCTGGGTCAGCGAGGATAGCTTTGTCAGGTGATTGCCCAATCAAGCGCTGTTTACCTTTATCTGGGCCGGATTCTGGGGCTTGGCGGCGCCACTCACCAGGACTGCCCTCGGGTAGTAGCTGGACATGCAGCGCTTTTAGCCCCGTTTGCAGGAACAGATGGCCAACGAGCAGGCTGACACGTGTGACATTTGTCAGCCTTTGCCAAGCAACATCTGTCAGTCTTCTCCCAACACCATGTCCGGTGAGAGGTGCTGTTCTACTTGTACGGGATGTGGATGGAGATTCGAGATCTGGCCCCCCGTGGCATGTGTCAACTGCAAGAGATTCGCATGAAATAGGTACCATTGCAGCATTGTTGCCGGCGTATCATGGCCATCACCTCTCAGTGTGCCTAAGAATCCTAAGATCGGGGTATCGTGCCCCTTTGTTTTGGGGTTTAAGGTTCGCCGGTGCCCACTCCTTTTGCCAGTTCTCTGCCCGTCAAACACAAGCTCCAAAAAGAGGATTTGGACAGGGCAAGAGTGCTACGTCCCATCTATGTCTGCATCGTTTTGTGAGTCTGCAGAAGAGCAAAGGACAGGTTGTTTTGAAGCGAACGGCGCAGGTAGCGTGCCTTCACACGCTTTACAGCAGTGACTCGTGAAGTCCGTTGGTCCACATCTCGTTGTCAGCCACCTCGAGCAGTCAAGTGCCGTGGAGGAATAAGGAATGGTTCTGGGATATGTGGCAGTAAGGCACAGTCTCAAGAACCACTCGACCTTATGAATGCTTTGGTGGGGTGTCGGAGGGGTTCGCCACTCCTCTCAGATTTTGTGTTATCTTGCAGCCCCACGCTCTTTATGGGGTTTCGTGTCTGCTGCTTCCTCTGTGGTTGGGTTGGTTTAGCACCCTTTGTCTGTTGACGAGGAGTTCGGGTTTTGTCACTTCACTACCCTGTCTTCAGAAGAAGCGCAACGAGTTGCCTGAGTCGCTCAAACAGGACAAGCCATGTGGCCTGCATGATCGAGGTTTCATGTTGCAATGTCCAAAGCAAGCATCATGGCAATTAAGTGTGTGCATGCCTTTTGTTGGAGTTCTTCTCTCATACTCAAATTGCGCACCGTACCAACGTCGCCAGGTCTATCCCTCCTACACCAGCAGGACGCCTGAATCTTGCTTGGAGACCTCACCACAGCTGAAGACTTGGAGACTCTGTGAAGTTGTGGGTTTTGTCCAGGACAGAAGAGAGTTTTCGATCTTCGCTGGACAATCATTTCTCAGGCACTGATGTAGCTGAGCCCTCACAGCCCCGGGATCTTCGCACTCTGCTGGCTGTTCTCCGGGAGTGGGGCAACGCGGTTCTAGCAGCTTCTAGCAGCTCCTTTGGCTCTTCGTTGCTCTTTCTGCAGCTGCTGCGTTCACAGGGAGAAGATAATTAAGATAACATTTCAGAGCACAGCACTGAGCCGGTCCACCTGAGCATAAGCACTTCCATTAAGAAGTCTTAGAGATGGGCGGGGCCGCAGTGTGGCTGCCAATGCCCGGCAGCCTGCAGCGCTGCAGGCAGCTGAAGCGCAAACAGCTGCAGGTGATAATCGATTTTGACCACACAATTACAGGCTTTCGGAATGCAGATGGTTCCAAAATGGTTCAGTGCCACGATGCCATAGAACATTCTTTGAGGATGCCAGACCAACTACGTGTGGATTACCGGAAGCTTTGGCAAGACCAAGAAGAAGGCCTTTTAGCGGGCAGTTGGACATGGCAGGAATGGTGGAGTCGTAGCCACAGTCTTTTTGTCAAGCACGGTCTTAAGGCCTCCTTGCTCTCGTCGATTGTGGCAGAAAGTGGTATACGTGTTCGAGATAAGTTCGCAGAATTCCTCCAGCTGCTGCTGGAACATCATGTGCCAGTGCTTGTTGTCTCAGCTGGTATCAGTCAGATCATCGCCGAAGTCTTGCGGCAGACAGGAGTAAATCCTGAGATGGTGCACATCTGTGCGAATGACATGGTATTCAACGACGAAGGAACTTTGACACACTTCACCACCCCTGAGATCACGCCGGACACGAAGTGTGAAATCGGGAGGCTGCAGGATGCGTACTTTGCTGAGATCGGACGGCAGCACGTGGTGGTCATAGGCGACAGTATTACAGACTGTGATGTGATCAAGAAGGTGTGTGGAGTGGAGTTGATGCTATTTGTCGGTTTGTACAATGTGGAGAGGGCCAACTGGGAAGCCTTCCAAGCTGCCTTTGACATCCTTCTTAGTAACGTGGCCTTGGCACCAGAGGAAGACCTGGACTTCCGGCCGCTGGTTGAGTTGCTGGAAGTCATTCTGGGCTCCAGGCTCTCCGCCTCCGATCCGTTCCTGCAGCAAGTTTTGGCCGGTCCGAGTGGCGAGATGCAGATTGAATGAGCGTTGGAGCTTCTTAATGTTCGCGACTGTGAGCTTCGACTTCTCCTACCGTCGACTCGAAAGGCCGAAGTCGATGCGACGATCTGGAGAGAAGCATTTACGCTTTCGGAACTTCCCGTTGCCCTGACCGTGCTTGTCCAAACGACGGCCGCTGAGTCGACTGGATGGCTGGCAGAATGCTGCCTGCCGTGGCATCTCAATGCTGCCACCCTAGGGGACCAAGGGACTATTCTTACACATCGCTGCGTGATGTGCAACAAGTCCGGAACTAGCTCCTTCGATTGCTGTTTGCATGGGTGTGATCAAATGTTTTCTAGCCAGCAAAACGGCGTGGGAAGCAGCGCGAAACGCAAGACACTGTGCAGGTGTGTCCGCCCACTACGAAAAGCTGGAAGCGTGGCTGAGGCTGCTATGCTGACTTCAATCAGTCTAGGCATGAGCTTGAAGTAGTCAGTCAGATGGAGCAGAAGCAACGAGTGCCCCACTTGCGTGCGGTGCGATGTGCGTGCGTCTGCGACAGTCAAGCTACCTCCATGTGTTGATTTGCTTTCAGCATCGCAGCACTGCAAACCCATGCCGCTTCGTGTCTAGGATCTCCCTGCAGCCGCAGCAACAGGGGACCTTCGCTTCCCCACCCTTTTGTGTGAGTAACGGTTCATTGCAACTCGCGCAAGTGGCATATTCTTTTACATGGGAAGGATGGAGCGCTTTTTGGATGTCAGCATTCTCAAGTCTCATTCTCTGGTCACGAGTCACTCGGTTTTCCCCGTTGATCCCATTTGCACAATTATGAATGCCTCGTGTGTCGTTGTTGTTTATTGCACCACTCTGACTGAGTCACTACACTTATGGACTTGTGGGTGGCCGGAATGGCAGACAGGGAAGAGTATTGTCTGGCGAACCATGCTTCAGCCATGCTTGGGTTCATTTGTTCCTCGATTAGCTTCACTCACCTCCTCACTCCGGTCGCCTCACTCGGGAAAGTCCCATGACCGTGTTTGTAGTACCAGTTGCGCCAGACGTCACATCTTGCCATCAGGCGAAAGGATACTCCTTTCTTTGCCAGCTCAAGGCCGTGCACAGCTGATTTTCATGCCGGAGCCAAAGGTGATGATTTGCCCACTTGATGTGTAACGAGTGAAACAGAAAATGTTAGTCTATGTCTTGTGGTGGAGCCGTTTTTTCAACATACTGCTGGAGATGCTAGCTCAGGTCTGGGAGATGTTGGACCAACAGGAGTGCATGGCTCGCCGTGGGCCTAGGCATCTCTTCGAAATAGACCCATACTCTGGCACAAATGCTCGGAATAGAGTCACACCGACCAAGACAGTCTCGAAGAAGAGGCGAGGTGTTTTCGGGTGTCTCTTGCTTGGGGAGAACCCGAGACAGGTGTGCCCTGCTTACTCTTCACAATTGTTTATGTGACCAAGGGCTGGTCGGGCGTGCATATAACAGGGGGACAGCCAGAGAGACGCAGAGGGGGACGAAGAGTTGGGTCTTCATACGATTCATACGCCTTGCAAGCATGGGACGAAGAGTGTCAACTCACACGATGTGCTGAGGTGCCTACGGCTTCGCATCTCCACTTGGGGATAGTGCTTGCTTGAAGGCAGGGTTCTCGACAATTGCAGGGTTCTCGACAATCAATGGTTGTCCTGGCGCACCCGTGTCTGCTGGCAAGCGTAGGGTCATGGACCCACTTCAGCGCATGGTTCATCCACGGTCAGCGAGCTCATGTCTTTGTGTCCACGACGTGCAAAAGATTGCAAACTGTAGGCTTTTTATCAGCGCTTTCGAGAGCTTCCCGAGTTGGAACCGTACTTCGCCAGCGGAGTCTTGGCCATGTTCAGATTGATGGGAGCTTCAGCAGAACATTCGCTGTGCGTTCGGGATGAGTAGACTTGTTGATTCACGCCTGAGGAGACTACTCGTTGCCAATGAACAACAAGATGGCCTTTTACAAATGACTGGCTTATCGATAGATCCTGTGTGGATCTTGCATCTGCATGCACCATCAGTTATCAAGTCCGCAAAGCGCAATCAAAGCCAACTTGCGCTTTGCTGGTCAGCGTCTGTCCAGACCTGCAGGGACGCTCACACGCGGTGTACCCTGAACGGATTCGGTTACTGTGGAAAAGTCGCCAATGACTGCCCCTGCAGTCTGCGGGAATCACACGACGAGGCACGGACCATATACTGGAGACTAGGATCCGCTAGAGCATGTAAGATGTCCTGCTTGCCGTCTAGCTCTGGACAGCAATACTGCACTTTTGTGTGTCTGCGGATGTTCCCAGAAAGCTGCCCAAGCTCTTCGCCAGTCTCCGCGAGACGCTGAGAAAGAAGTACACGACCTCGAAAATCATTCAAAGTGGTAGCCAGATGGAAATGTGCTTCTCAAAGCGCGTCCTCAACTCGACCGCCAGCTTCGATGGCAGCAAGCAACGACGGTTCCACTGAGTTCTCTGATCAAACAGCTTGGACGCTGTTGAAGGGTGATGCCTCCACCGGTATTTCCCCCATGGCCCAGCCCTGATCTCTGTATGAGTTTCATGCCGGGATGCTTTAATCTTTTGTTCCCAATCTTGCAACACCGCACGCTCAACTTCTGAGCATGCGGGTGCATTTTCGTGCAACTGCATGTTCCGGGACTGCCGATGTGTAAATGGAGGATCGCCTTGTCCTGGCTCGCGCAGCTGTTAGATCCTTTGCGTGGCGCTTCTTCGGCGCCCGTGCCGACCACCCAGACCTTGTACTCAACGTTTGGGTGTCCTCATGGCACCCATGCCGTGCTTCGCACATGTTCGCAGTCAGGTTGGTTGGAGACATGCCCGACGGCGACGGGGCGGAAGCTCAGGAGGTTGGGCTGTGTCCATTCGGTTCGATTCGGGACCAGCCTCAAGCACCTGCCTCTGACAGGCCCAGGAGGCCCAGGAGGCCCAGGAGGCCCCTGAGGCCCAGGAGCCTGAGAATGGAAAGAAGAAGAAAAAGGAGAAGAAGGCAAGCTAAGCCCGCCGGGGAGCTTTTCCGGGAGGGGAGACTGGGAACAGGAGAAGAAGGCCGAAGTCGTCAAAGACGAGAAGATGGGCCAAGTGAAAGACGAGGCTGAGCTCCTGGAGCGGCCCCGGCCAGCCAGCACTTTCTTTGCTCTTTCTGCCAGGATCTCGACTGGATTTGGATCGGTGGCGCAGAGGTTCGCCGCGCTGTAAAGTCTCGAGGACGCGGCTTTGCTTTGAGCTGGTCTCGAGGACGCGCGAGACCGGGAAGCTCTCGAGCGCGCCAACATCCGGTCTGCAACTCGGAACGCTTGGACCTGTGAGCTGATCTAAAGCTTGGCTTGAACCAACAAGTCCACGGGGTCAAGCGTAGACGAGCTACAGCTTGCAGCCGTACAGTTCAGCAAAACGTAGTCAACAAGATCTGCACAGGCATTCAGCCGACGTTCCGTTTCCCTTCGTGTCCTTTGCATGCCTCTGCCATGACATGGACGCGCTGCTGTTGCAAGAGGCTGCTAGGGCTGAGGCCGTGGCACGACTTCAGGAGGCCGGATGCCACGATTCAGAAGTGCGGGTCGACCCTATATTGGCTTAGCAGATCCTCGCACAGCCTGGAGCTTGTGAGCTTGGTTTTGCTCTCGAGGAGGCGCGTTCCCCGATCGAGGCGTGGAGGGCCCGCGATGCAGCGCTTGCATCGGAGAGGGCCGCGAAGGACCCGAGAGTTTCAGTGTATGAGTTCATGGGCATGGTTCTCGTAACGCGAGCTGTGCATGTAACTTGCAGGAAGCGGCCCTCACTAAACTCTGTGAGCAGAGGCAGCAGCTGGTGGAGCGCATCAATTTCTGCAAGCAGCAGGAGAACGGTCCAGTGGTGAACTTCTGTGAGAACACTTATCGCCGAAGATAGCTCAGGATTCGCGATGGTGGCCTGAGGCCGCACGTCTCCAAGTGGCTTTGAAGCATTTCAATGTCTTGTCCGCATTTGCTGTGTCTCGTCAGGCGTCCTTTGTAACCACCGTGGACCAAGGCCCAACTGGCTGGTGTGCAGCAGGCCGTTCAGGCCATTGAGCAAGAAAAGGCCAGTCGCTTCCGGTTCTGGTATCCTTTCACATCCCGTTCCGCCTGCGAGAGAAACCGGCGGGTCCCTACCAGGCAAGATTTCAGCAGGTGCAGGAGCAGAAGGCGGATCCATGCAGCCGTTTCACCAACGCGCTGAAGGACCACTTGCGGCAGTGCGAAAACCGCCCCTTGGCTTGAAGATGCTGTCTTGGATGCTCGACTTTCCAGTCTTTTGGCCCTGTCAATCTGTTGAGTGGCAAGTTTGGATTTAACATCCTCAAGTACACGCATGCAGCTGCAGCACCATTGTGTCAATGTGCTGCAGGCACTTGTCCCATGGCCCATCTGCACCAGCAGCCGGTACTTATCCGAGAGTGGCGCGAGCTTGTGCTGTGACTGGGTTCGAACGGAGGAAGCTGCAGTGTTTTTCTTGGTTCTTGCGGTTCCAGTGAGAGAATATGAGAGGCTTGAGCCTGCCGGCCAAGGTCGAGAATCATCCGGAAGTCTACCCAGGTGCATCCATGGTGCATGATGTGGGTGAGCTGAGGGATCGCCCAGAGCATTGTACACACATGACCTGCCTGCATTTCCTTGCAAAGTGCAGTGCAAGCCCTCTGTTGGCTCTTGATAAGTCACAGGCGTAGGCCACATTGCTTGAGACGATCGATTTGCGTGCAGAACATGCGCCTGTGGAGCAATGGTGGCCGAAGTTGAAGATCACCGGGCACGACAGTTGCCAGATATAGAAGAGATTCCTGGTGGTGATGTGCCCGTGTCTGGGTGGTCCGGCAGCGAGCCCGAAATCCGAGAGGCACTATTGAAATGGTACGACTGCGAACGCCGTCGACTGCCTTGGAGAGGGGACCCGCCTCCTTGGAGTGAACACAAGGCCAAGCTGAGATCTGAAGCTGCCAGGAGGGAGTCCTCCAAGGGCTGCTCGCCTTTGTCGAACTTTTTCAGGTTGAAAGCCGCTCCGCGTGGAAGCGGCGAGGTCCAGGTCATTGATCTAGACGAGTCTGCGGAGGAAGCATGGGGTTTCCCGCGGAGCGCTTATGGGGTGTGGGTGTCGGAAGTAATGCTGCAGCAGACACAGGTGGAAGTCGTTATCGGCTACTGGACTCGCTGGATGGATCGGTTTCCAAGCATAGACGCATTGGCTGCAGCCAAGGCTGAGGAAGTGAATGCTGCCTGGGCAGGATTAGGCTTTTACGGACGGGCCAGGCGCTTGCATGAGGGTGCTCGGTATGTCATGGAGCATCATGGAGGCCGATGCTGTGCTTGCAGTCAATGTTCACTTCGTTTTAATAACCACCCCCCCCCCTTAGTTGATTTCAGGCCCAGACAGGGGGGAATGATTATTGAGGGGGCGGGGGCGGGGGTCGGCGTAGTACAGTAGTACAGCACTACAGTTCTTCCGTAGTATAAAGGTACAGTGGTACAGTAGTGCAGTCGTACATTCGTACAGTAGTACAATAGTTCAGTAGTTCAGTAGTTCAGTAGGACAAGTAGTACAGTGGTACAGCAGAACAGTAGTCGGCACAGTTGTACAGCAGTACAGTACAGTAGTACAGTAGTACAGCAATACAGTGGGATAGTAGAATACACTAGTGCAGCCGTACGGCAGTACAATAGTACCGTAGTACAGAAGCAAAGTGGTACAGTAGTACAGCACTGCAGCAGTACTGTAGTACTGTAGTACAGTATTACAACAGCAAAGTAGTACGCAGTAGTACAGTAGTACAGTACAGTAGTACAGTAGTACAGCAGTACAGTAGTACTGTAATACCAGCTTCAGAGTACAGGAGTACAGTAGTACAGCGGTACAGTAGTACAGTAGTACCGTAGTTCAGTAGTACAGTAGTACAGCAGTACAGCTATACAGTAATACAGTAGTATAGTAGTACGGTAGTACTTCACCACAACAAGGCCCTCCCGGGGTGGGTATAGAATAACTGAGGGGGGCTTTTCATATTTGAGGAGAACGCCGGCTTGTTAGTACTCCATCAGGGTGCATTGATTTTTTGGCCTGCGAATAAGGAACTTTGTTAAGGAAGGCATGGAATCTGAGGCACTCCAAATCTGCGGTTTTCGACTCCTTTCCCAATCAACGGCTTAGCTCCGACGGCTTGATTTGCTTTTTTCTGCAGCAGGCGCCACCACAAGGCCTTCCCCAGAGCGGATTCATGATTGAATGGCGCTTATAACTGAGGAGAACGCCGGCCTGTTAGTACTAGAGTGTACCTCGGTTGTTAACAGCGCCACTTTCCTGGTTCACACCTGTGGACGAGTCCCCCACTTCAACCAGTGCAGACAGCAGGATGCACAGGGAACATGGTGTTGCATGCACGGAAGGAAGCTTCGTCTGCAAAGCGAGGGAGCCATGGGACTTCGTATGACGTAGAAGTCAAACATCTGAGTGCTTCAGAACTGGTGTCTGCGCCCCTCATGGTCATACTTTTAAGCCCGACAGCGGCAACTCCGAATTGACAATTGAAAAGACTTAGTGGACGATGATGTTAACTTCATGTAAAAACCCCCTCAATTTTAAGACTTGACCCGCAGAACTCAATCATAAAACCCTCTCAGTAATGAAACCCAATAATAATATCTCGCTCCCAGATCTTATTCTTGTGTTTTTTTTGGCTACCGTTTGTAGTATCGGTTTGCTTTAGAGCTTGGTTTCTCAACCAGAGGCAGGACGGAGCAGAGAGAAACAGCACAACTACTACGACCGCTGCAGCACCGCAGAGCAAGAGCACTGCAGAGCTTCCATTCAGTCAGAGGCATGACGGAGCAGTGAAATTGCAGATGTAGAGTGCCTCAGATTAAATGCCTTCCTTAAACAAACTACCTTGAGCAAAACTCAATCCACCCTGATGGGAATGGACCGCCAGGTTGCAAACAAAAACATCTGTTTCCGCCAGCTGTGCATAGAAAGTTCGCATACGACCAGCATGGCACGAATATCAGCAAAACGTCGTCCAACAGCCAGTCCGATTCGTAGGAGAGTTGCCGCAGAACATCGAAGATCTTCTTCGCATCCCTGGTGTTGGTCCGTACACGGCGGGAGCCATCGCATCGATTGCCTTCAACAAGCGAGCTGCAGTGGTGGACGGGAATGTTGTGCGGGTCTTTAGCCGCCTTGCAGCACTGACAGGGCATGGGAAGTCTCCCGCCTTGCACAAGCAGTGTTGGAAACTCGCCGAAGCTCTGCTGGATCCTGAAAGGCCTTCTGCTTTCAATCAAGCACTAATGGAACTGGGTGCGACTGTCTGTACACCTCTTGCCCCAGCATGTAGTCGATGTCCTGTCCGTACGGCTTGCAAAGCGCACAAGCTGGCAGCCGCAGGCACAGTGACTTCTGTGACTGGATATCCAGCCAAGCAAGCAAGCCAAAAACCTCGGCGTCACCGTGTCCTGGCTCTTGCGGCTGTCGTGAATGCAAACGGTGCCTGGATGTTGGTGCGCCGACCGCCGAACGGTTTGCTTGCAGGGCAACTCGAGTTTCCAGCAATAGAGCTCGATCAAACACAGGGGACAGTAGTGTCGACCCAGGCAATATCATGCCTGCGAGAATTGCTGGCCGACTTCGGTCTTTGCTGTGATTTGCCTCTGACAACTCTCGGTGCTCCCATTGAGCATGTTTCCAGGCTCTCAAGGGTAATGCTGTGTGGACGTTTACTGGGTTGTAGTCTGGCATAGCCTGTGCACGGTGTATTTGTACACAGACTTCGTCTTGACAGTCAGATTTTACACAACCTGGGCTGCGGAAAATTATAAGGACAAGACAAGCAGACCGAGCCGAGGTTTTCTCCCACGAGCACCACTTCATGCATGTCTTCAGAGGCACTGTACCTGCGGGCTTTCCGGCAGCAGAGCCCAAGAGGGACGTACACTGGCTCACGCCGAGTGAGGCTGAAGAAGCTGGCATCACAAGTGGATTGCAAAAGGCCGGGGCATGTCAGAACTAGTGGAGCATATCCGAACAATGGTTGGGAAGTTGAGGGAAAGGCAGCGACACAGGGTCCTTGGGAGGAGAGCAACAAAACTAGGTTAGTTGTTTGTGCCAAACTTCCGCCATCCGTCGCCGACGGCCTGTTTCCCACAGCAGGTGCTGCACAGACTGGTGCCGGAAGTCCCGGCAAAGAGAGCGGCGAAACGGCACAAACGATAGCAACGTGTTTTCGAGACGCCGGAAATCTTGCAGTCCGGGCAGCTACCTCTGAAGAGATCTT